TCTCTCTCTCTCTCTCTCTCTCTCTGAGTCTCCGTCTCTCCGCAGCCGATTGATGACCCATGTGTCTGTTGAAGAGTGGCCTCCATTTTGCGCAGCAGCCGCTGCGCCTGAGCTCCCCGATAAATGGGGGCAGGAATCGTTGTCGATGGTGTGCCCTGCGGCCGCTGCCCATGTAGCCCGAGTCATGTCCGACGAGTGAGTGTAGCCTGAGTCATGTCCTCCGTCTCACTCGTCGCGCTCCTCCATCATCTCCGTCCGCCGTTCGTAGTTTAGGAACGTAATCGGAGTCCCTCGCATCATCAGTGTCTGTGGTCTCTCCCGGGGCGACATCTGTGCTGTCGCCGTGGACGATAAGTACACTGCCGCGTCTGTTCTGACCTGCCACTGTATCCCCTGCACCCTCCCTGGCGAAGTTGTCCGCCGTCGTTGCAGCCCTCCCTCCAACATCCAATGCGTCGTCGTCAGGTGCAATCTCTCCGTCCTCGAGATACACAACGCCGGATCGCCCAATATGGGAACGCATATGTGGCGACGAACGTGACGCCTTCCTTGTCGAGGCCTTCTTCCTCGCCCGAAAAAGACTCGCCTTCGCGGCCCTCGTAGCATGGACATCAGAGTTCTTCGTCGGCAAAGCACTCCCGTGTCGGTCCTCATACTCTGTCATGGCGGTGTGGCGAGCACCATCGACAGTCCCAATGGATCGTGTCCCCATAGACGGTGCAGATGGCCTGGCAACAATCCGGACTCCCTGCTCGTACAACCCCTCAGTACTGCTCCCGCTGGCATAGAATGCCAACTGTCGGCAAAACAGTAGCTCTATCGCGCCGTGCTGTCGGCGATGACCCAACCACAGACTGTTGTGTCGTGTCCGTGGTGTCTATGGTGGGGACGCCCGCAACTGCGCCGGCAGCCGCGGTAATGGGATGATGCTCTGAGTATGACCGCGGACGTGGGGGTCTTGTTGCTCTTTTGACTGCGCCAACGGCCCCACCTATAGACCCTTCCTCCGCGCCCGCAAACGAATCAGACAGACTACGGTGTGCGATGCTGCGGTGACCGTCGCGGTGGTGTCGCGTCGTCGTCTCGGCCTTACCAAGGTCCACCTCGTGTGGTCTGCCAACACGAAAAATTGTGGGCATGGCAGACACCGTTGGGCTTGCCATAATCGTATCGCCTCCTAACTCGTCAAACGCGTCTAGTCCGCGCTCCGTGGCGACAGGCTGTTGTGGGTTGGGCGGTGACACGTGGGGTAGACCAGGAGATATCAACGTCGACAAGTCCGGGAGAGAAACCAGGGTCGAGTCCATCACCAGTAACTCGCCGGTACCCGGAAGACTGTCGGTGGGGCATGTCAGGCCGGCATGGTCTGAGACAAGCTGCTCAGCTACGGGAGTGTGTGAGATCTTACCTTTCGGGAGATCGTTGCCTAGACACACAACAACAATCCCCTCCATCAATGCAGGCGGTGGCCGTGATACAGTGTTGACTGCATCGGCTCCGTGTGTGCCTGATTGCTGCATAGCAACCCCGTCCCTGCGTACATTAGGCTGATCTCCATGAACACTGCGAGGTGGGAGGATACTCTCTTGCTCCGTCGTTGCCGGTGGTCGTCGCACATCTGAGGTCGCTGCAGCTGAGACTTCCGCTCCGACAGACGTGAGTGGATGCAGTGCACCAACAAAACCCTCGTCCTGCATTACCGGGAGATGACCGATGTCTCCCTCGAACTCGGGATGGCGCATCAATGGTGCATGACCCTCTTGCGATTCCGGGATTGCTGCGGAGGACCCCGTTGGAGCAGTCCCGTGCATATACTCAAAGTATCATTTCGTGCATGACTGCTCCCATCATCAAGCTCGATCCGCTCCTTGTTGACGTCATCGCTGAAAGAGTCCTTGGAAACTAGAATCTGCTCAATTGCAGGGACTCGCGCTCGTGGAATGCTAGCAACCCCACCATGACGTTTACGAACACAAGAAGCGATAGTGTCTTGTTCCCTTGGTCCACGTTTCAAGCGCCTCAAATCACCGCCCTGAACAAGTAGTGAACCATCATCGTCCGCTCCATCTCGAGCATCATCCGAGGTTGTGCGTCGCTCGCCTCCTGCCCTGTCGTCACGCATGGTGTCACCATTTGCAGGTCTCGAGGCCCCTGCACCGCTCCGTGCATCAGCGTCACCCTCATCGTGACAATGTCCCGCTCCCTCGCCAGACCCTCTATCAGTGTCTCTCCGTGTTCAGCGGGGTCGTGGCCGATCTCCTCCATCACCGCGATCATCGCCTCCGGCGCCATCGTCGTCGTCTACGTCCGGGTGACGGTCGTCGAAATCGTTGTCGCCATCCTGTGCAGGCCTGCCAGTCCCGAAGAATCCTCATCATCACTGGACGAGCTCTCGTACAAAAAGTATCTCTCATCCTATCGTTGTCGAGGCTTGCGTACAAGCTCGTCCGTCGTCATTCCACCATTCGCGACACTCCTCCTCCCGCCATGACCTCCACGCCTGCCTCACCCACGACCGCCCCGACGACCACCTCTGCGACCACCGCCACGACACCTCCTCCTGTCAGACTCCCGCAATCGACGAGTGGCTCCCATGCGAGACGCGGCGCGCATCCTCTCTCTCGCCTACATCAACTCTTGCGTCACTGTCACACGGGCTCCTCGGTCTGCCACAAGCTGCTGGTCGGTGGGCACCTCCTCCACCTGCTGCTAGTAGTGCACCCAGCTCCCATACGGATGTGGCCTGTCACTGGGAGCATCGTCTGACATAGCCTGCCTGTCGAGGAGCCGAAGGTTTCAGTGGCATCACACGAGCTTCTCGGCCCGTGCCACCTCCAATCTATTACAGGATTTGGAGTGGATGAAGCTTCAGTGGGACCAAACTCTCTCGCAAACACGCAGTATCCTGCCAGTGAAGAAGGCCATGTGCGGGAACCTCTTCTCCTTCGACTTCCAGAAACAGGCTGGATGGGTATAGCTCCTCGCCACCCGGTCCATGGCCACGTCGTCGAACGACGGCTCCCTAGCATGAAACTTGTCAATGGCAGTCAGGACCTCGTTGTGCTGGTCCAAACCCTTCGGGTACCCAAACTGAACCAGAGCGACTTTCAAACCGTACTGCATCTCCTCGTCGTCTGGCATCGTGTGCTTTCGAAACTCGGGGTCCAACATCATGGCAGCAACATGAGCAGGCAACTTAAACATGGTGCGGCGTTTGTCAAACACTTCAAGCAACGCGTCCTGCTCGTCCTTGTCAAAAACGGCACATGCAGACAAACAACGCACGATCATCTCGTCGTACCGACGCAAAATCTTACCAATTTGCCTCGTGTCGCTATCCACCATCTGCAGCATGTCCATGATGGGATCCAACAACTTGCACAACGCTCTCATATCCTCCCACCACTGAGGACAACCGACACATGCTCTGACCTCCGCGTCGTCGTCTCGAATCTTCTTCGTTGACCAAACAATATCCTTTCATCGATTATCAATGACCACCCCCATAAGATGCGATTGCTGCTGAAAAAGTCGCCGCATCATAGTGACGTGCGTGTCGAAGCGAGTCTCGGCGGGAAGCAACAATGCCATCGTCGTGAAAGCTTGCAAAACTTCGCGAGCATGACTATGGCGCTTGAAAAACTTTGTGACCAACCGCGCCTGAGCAATGCAGGTCGCCACCCACTAAATGCCGTCGATGTCCTTAAGGATGAGGTCCATGACGTGCGCCACATAAGGAATCCAGAAGATGTGCTTGACACTCTCATCCTTCTGGAACACCTCTATCGCAGAAACGTTCCAACTAGCCAAGTCTGTGACGAAAGCGGTGATGTCTGCGAGCTTGATGTCAAGGGACTTCAACCTTCGCAGCCAAGCCTGCGCCAAAGCAGTGGCATCCTTCTTTCCTCGCATAACATATGTCCCGACGTATGTGGCGCCCCGTGTGGTCCCCACGAGATAGTTACACAACGTTTGGCCCCCAATGTTGGTCCAACCGTCTATCATAATCGTGCAACTGTAGGTAGCCGAAGTAGCGAGGACAGGTTTCACACACTTTTGGACTTCCGCATCAAGCTCGTCCAAAAGTGTGGTATGGATCATGTGATACGTCGGGGGTTTTGGGGTGGGCACTCCGGGAACCCCAGACGGGATGATCAACGTCAATATGCGTTTGAAGCTCTCAAGCTTCACACAGTTGAACGGCATGCCGCTCTCGACAATGAATCGCATGATCTGCAGGTGCCATGCGTGCTCCAGTGGGTCGTTGTAATACGAGGTCACCGCCTGCTGCCTGTAAGCAGGGTTGTCGAGCCCCAGCGGGGGTCCGGGGGTCTGCGGGTGGGCACCCCCAACCCCGGCTCCAGACCCCCCCCCCAAAAAAAATTCAAAAAAAAAAAAAAAAATTCAAAAAAAAATTCAAAAAAATTCAAAAAAAAAATAAAAAAATAGTGGGGGATGCTCAGCGAGAGCGCGCACCACATGGGCTAAACCCCAAAAATGGGGTTTTATGCCCCACCCTGGACCCCCCCCGGGGCCACACCCACCACTCGTGGGACCGAGGTAGCTGCTGGTGCGGGGC